AGACTCCACCCCCTCACCTGTACGAGTCGTTAGACTCCACCCCCTCACCTGTACGAGTCGTTAGGCTCCACCCCCTCACCTGTATGCGCAGCAGCAGCGAGCGGTTGGTGCTCTCCAGTCTCTTCTGTCTGTCCTCCATTTCTCTGGCTCTCAGTTGTTCTTTCTGCAGTTTGCGGATGTAATCTACGGACGCCTTTAGGACCGTTCCTTTGTTCCACCTTGTTTCTCTGTTTACAGGTAGAGTGTTTCTGTTGGTGTCAGTGGTAGTAGACAGTAGTAATACTGCTGTGAGGGGTGCAGTGTTTACTGACGGGTCAGAGGACTTGGGGATCAGAGCTCCAAGTTCTTTGATGCGGTCATTGATGTTGAAGCGTCTCCTCCTCTCAACTGAAAAATCAATCAACATGTGAATGTGTCAGTCAGCTGAACCACCAGCACCAGTCCAAAGGTCAACGGTCACCATTAGTCTGAAGATAAATGTTATAAAACATAATTCACAGATATAAWTCTGTGTCTTTGATCAGCTGACTCTGGAGACTGGACCTTCTCTTGGTTCAGTGATGTTCTGTCCATCTAAAGATGATGAAGTCACATCAGCTGTGGACTGATGATCCAACACTCACTCAGGTTGTGGTTGTCCTTCTTCTGCCTCTCCTTTAGTAGAGCTTTGTTCTCCACATCTACAAGAACAAGATCATCAAGATCATCATCACAAACCATCAACAACCTCATCGACAAAAATAATCCTGAATCCGCTCCTGCTAAGTGTATTTTGGTACAACTTTGTGTGTCTTTTATCTAACTGCTCAGGTTTTAAGGAAACACTGATGTGACACTTTCTGACATGACTGTTTGTCAGTGTTAGCCAATCAGACGGTCTGAAAACACAATAAGTGGTGTGATTGGCTGAAAGTAGCCCGGTCTGTCTCAAACACTCTGGTCATGTGACAGGTCTTACCGCTCAGCTCGGTCTTGACGGTGTGCAGGTTAGCTGGGCAGCTGCTGCTAACGCTGATGGTGGGCGTGTCCATCCGTCCGTACACATCCAGCACAGGTGTCTGTAACGGACCAATCAGAGAGAAGAATCACACACACACCTGAAAAACATATCAGCATGGTGAATGGACTGAACTTATACAGCACTTCACTCATTCATTCATTCATTCATTCATTCATTCATTCATTCATTCATAAATTTTATTCATTTCATTAAAAAAACAAAAATTTTATTCACAATAAAAATAAAATACAAACAACAAAATGAAGGGAAGCAGAGAGAAGAATAAAATCTTATATCTGCCCCTTTTTCCTCAAGTATAAATTCAAACAACAATAATCCTCAGTTAACAAAACAAAACAAGAACATTAAATCATTCAAGAACAACAAATTATATGTTTACACTTTATACACTTTCATATTTTTTTTCAATAATCCAATCTTTATCATTCTATTAAACACGTACTTTGATTTGACATTTTTAACATCATCTTCCAGATTATTCCACAATCTGACTCCTTGGATTGAGCTGCAGCGTTCTTTAAACAGGTTTTAAATTTAGGTTTCATGAACATCTCTGTCCTCTTACCGTTAGAACAGCTCTCTGGATGTTTACAGGTAATGTGTTCAGGTGAGTTTTATACAGAACTAACAGATTGTTATAATCAACC